AAAGCAAGAGTTTACGTCGAGTAAGTAATTTCATTTTATTGAATTTTCATTTTTAAATTTAATTTTTTATACATTTTTTTTTTTTGCGTTAGACATGGAACCAGCTGCCTCGTTGTCAACGCAATCTCATTATAATGGGAATTTCCACGGTTTTAGTTTTTTCATGGTTTTTATTTTTGCCTGGTGATCAAATTGTGGCTGAATCACGCAAGTCATATGCCGCTGGTGGAGGTGTGTTCCCATTTCACGCTGGTCGCGAAGTATCAAATTTGCAGGAAAATGAGAATAAAAATGCAGCTTCGCACAAAATTTTAGCCAATGAAGAAAGTGAAACTAAAAGTAATATTGAACCTGAAGCAGCTGGCATACCAGAACACATAGAGGTAATAAAACTATTAAATTCCAATTATTGGTAGAGTAACTTATAGTGCTTTACGCATACTGTATCGCTTATTGTGTACGATTGACTGGTTTTCTGTACTTACATTTTGAGTGTTCCAATTGCTATACAAATAAATCTGCGATTGATTGCTATTTAATGCTCTATCAATAGACTGTTATACTGCACTGATTATGCCACTTATCGCCCCAAAATCATTAAGCAAATAAATTACTAGTACAAGTGCCGCAGAGTGTAGATAAGGGAAGTTCACACAAGTAATCACACAATAATTGATATTGTAAATTATAAATTTTTTTTTTTTGCTGAACATTTTTATCAAACACTCTTTTTGGCTGGCATGTACTATGTCTGGGCTTGTTCTAGATTTACTTGAAGGTGGGTCTTTATGTTAGAAACTAAACGTGTTCGTATGTTATACTCTGGGCAAACACACAAACAAATTTATAAAGCAAAAAATAAATGGAATGAAAGATATCAACCGAAGTTAAACTGTTTTTGAAGTTTAGTTTGGTGCTTCCGAAACGTATATTTACAGTACACCATGCTTACAGCATGTATACGATACGACTATACAGATTCAATACGACTATATCCTTTACGATGAGAATCGATGTGTCGTTTAACGCTTATATAAGTAATTTCAATGGCAATATTATTGGCTCTTCCTTTCTGCAAAGAAATATTGGTTAAAGATCAATACCGCAGTGAACAGCTACAATGAGAATATCTAATTCTCCTTTTCTTGTTGCCTTATATTTCCAGCTAAAATTCTTCTCACGCCTACTTAACGCTCCATTTTATAATTCTTTTATGTACTTGCATATATCTTATACTGACCAGAAGAGCAATGCATGTTTCGTTCAACTTAAAACAATCCAACTACAATAAAAAAATTTTTATTTTAGATTTCAGGTCACTTTAATAATGTTAATTAAGTTTATATATATTAGATAGGTGTATATTGTAGACACAAATGTTAAGTTCAACAGAAGTGTTTATTGTGACAATATACATAATATTCTATACATAAAGCTAGATTTTAAAATTTATTCCGGTCTACATATACATTCACATCCATAATATTTGATAAGTATATTTTTATTTTATATACCTATTGCTAGATAGGATTTACGACATGAATAAAGTGGTTGGTTATACTTGCTTTACATAATTACTATCTAATCCTTTCTTATTAAATAGATATTTAAAAATAGATGAATAAATAAAATAATTTAATCTATTTTATTTAAAAATAGATGATTTTAATTTTTTATGTGTTTTTGCAGGCTCCAGTTGAGTCTAATATCTTACCATTGGAGACTTTAGACAAGGTAGAAGATGCCCCTAAAACGAATTTACAACTGAACAGATTCGATGAAAAAAATAATATAAATATACAAGAAATAAATTTGAATAATAATGTTGAATCAGTTGCTGAAGTGCAAAGTGAAAGGGATCATACGATTATTGAAAAAGCCGTACAAGATCCAATGATATTACCTGATACAAAAGGCTTAACAATAGATGATTTTCTTAAGAATATTTCAACAGCAATTGTAGCGCAAAAACAACACTTCCATGGAGCTACAAATGAAAGACAAATCGCTGTGGTAGCCGCATTCAAGCATTCATGGGATGGCTACCGCAAAAATGCGTGGGGTCTTGATAATTTGAAACCGATTTCGCAGACAGGATACGATTGGTTTGGACTTGGACTAACTCTAGTAGACTCATTAGATACCATGTATATAATGGGTTTAGAAGACGGTAGGTATATAATGCGTTTTAAAGAGCCTTTACAAAACTCATAAGTTAACTAATATATAATGATTTCATGTAGAATTTTTGGAGGCAACTAATTGGGTAAATGAAAAACTCAATTTTGATAAGAATCGAGATGTGAATCTCTTTGAAGTGACCATACGTGTACTGGGAGGTTTATTGTCGGCCTATCATTTGAGTGGTGATAAAGTATTTTTGAAAAAATCGGTAAGTGGTGCGAACTGAATATGTAAATGTATATTTTACATTTTTTGAAACAGGTGGAACTCGGTAATCGTTTGCTGCCTTGTTTTCTGTCACCATCGGGAATTCCTTATTCAGATGTTAATCTGGCTTCTTTATCGGCTCACTCACCTAAATGGTCTCCAGACAGTTCTACTAGTGAAGTTACAACAATTCAGTTGGAATTTCGAGATCTGAGTCGTTCCACCAATGTACCAATTTATGAAAGAGTAAGTAAATGTCGTTAATATCGTTACTGTCGAATAAGTTACGAATAAGTCTTAATTTCAAGTTGGTAGAGACTGTAAATGAGAAAGTACATGCACTTGATAAAAATAATGGTCTGGTGCCAATATTCATAAATGCTAATACTGGAACCTTTCGAAATTATGCCACCATATCCTTGGGTGCGCGTGGTGATTCCTACTACGAATACCTCTTAAAGCAGTGGATACAAACCGGACGCAAAGAAAACGATTAGTAAGTAGAGTAGTATATAAAGACACATCATCTTTTAATAACTAATTACAAAATTATTTTAGCCTCGTTTTAGATTATTTACGTTCCATTGATGGTGTTATGACGCAATTAATGCGACGTACACCCAAAGAGCAGCACGTCTTTATCGGCGAACTTATTAATGGCAAAGAATTTAAACCAAAAATGGATCACTTAACGTGTTATTTGCCTGGCACGTTAATACTGGGGCATAAGTATGGTATGCCTGATTCGCACTTGATACTGGCTAGAGACCTGCTAGAGACCTGTTATCAAACTTACATGAAACAGCCTACCCAACTAGCACCAGAAATATCGTATTTTGCTGTTAGTGAAAATGAAGAGCACGATATTTATGTGAAGCCAAATGATGCACATAATTTGCTGCGCCCGGAATTCATAGAAAGTTTGTACTATTTTTATGCATTAACCGGCAATCGGACCTATCAAGATATGGGTTGGAACATATTTCAAGCATTTCAAAAGCACACTAAAGTTGCTAATGGTTATACATCCATTGGGAACGTTAAAAATGTGTTGAACACAAGACTGCGTGACGTAATGGAGAGCTTTTGGCTCGGCGAAACACTTAAGTACTTTTATTTATTATTTAGTGACAATCGAAAAGAAATAGATTTGGAAAAATGGGTTTTTAATTCGGAAGCACATCCGTTACCTATACGGAAACATTAGCTCCATGAAGATGGTGTAAATATATTTACATTTGAAATATTTTTTGTACTTGGCAGCATAACTAAGCAAATTTTGTAAAAGCTATAATTACTCGCGAGCAATGTTTATAAGTTTATATGTTTATATGTTCATATTGCTTTTAGATGTGAATAAGCGCAACTATATTTCTAATGTTATAGCATTAATAAACAGGTCATAGGTAATGGACAGTAATATAGGAATTTTAAGAAATAAACGAGTTCATTGTATAAGTATGTAGTTACCTTTACGCCACTCGCTTTTATCTAATATATTAGACTTGAATCTTTTGTAAATGTTTCAGTATATGACATTATTATTAATTATATTTATTTATTAACAACGCATCCCACTAAGTTATTAATTTAGTAGAATTAAAATCTTAGCTTAAATGCCAAATGTCATTTGTTTAGTAAAAACAAAAAGCGTTTAGTTTAAAAATTAATCATTATGTTACTATATTTAATATATTTTATTGCGATTTATGATATTATAAATTAAAAAAAAAAAATATTGTAAAAATTGCTCTCATACTTATGTTACGTTAAAGCACTGAAAATATTATTGATAATCGTCGTAGTTCATATTTATGGAAACAATACAAAGTGAAAACTATTGTAATTTAAATTGTTTAATTTGTATTTGTTAGTAAATTCGTATAAAAAAAATTGCTTTAATTTTATTTGATGTTTGTGAGTTTTGTGTTTCAATTCATTGTTCCATGAAAATGAATTCACTGCATTAATTGGTTAATTGCTCCAACTAACTGCGAATTTTTTAGATCGTTACTCACTATTATAAATAAGAAATCAGCGTATTACCACACATATGGGCCTAAACTACACATTGTAGATAGGGGATGGATTTTAGTAATAAAAATTATTTTATCTGTTCTCTGAATTTTGGAGCATTATATTTATTCATTAGGTTCCTCGAGCCTTACGGTATACTAGAGTTCAATAGAATTTGAACACTTCGAATGTTTGAAAATGCTCCAGTTCTTCGAAGATCAAATCTGCCTTATCTTTTGTGTTGTTGTTGTGGTTAACCTCGGACCAGAAACGCATAAAAGAGCGGAATGAGGGTAAGTGATGTGCAAGGTAGAACAAAAGATGAGAAAATACGTGAAGCTATTGAATTTAAATGGAGTCCATTTGAATGGATTTACCCAACAACCAGGCAGATTCATTAATTAGTAGAACTTGAATTTTGAGCGCATTTTAAAACATATGAGTGACGTAATATAGTGCTGTAGTTGGGGATGGGATGGATGAGTTGCTGAAGCACTTGGAGTCTACGTTTAGGAACTATTGTCTATAGAGACGATTAAGTTTCGTTCGCCCATGTTACAACTTTCTCCACACCGCTAAACAGCAACTAGTAGCGAATATTAATAAATATGATAAAACTAATTAAGTACCATTTTTAAATCATTAACATTTATATACTTTGTTTAAGAATAGGGAACATATGGACATTGTATTAAGACAACTGCGCACCCAAAGCTATTAGAATCATATAGTAAAGCTTTCCTTCTTTCTTGAAAATTGACTAAATTGACTATTTTTATATTTTATAGCTACCCATCACTTAATATTTATACACGAAGCCATTTATTGGATGTTTTTCTCTTACTATATGCTCACAAGCTTTTCATTTTTACTGTTAATGTAATCATGTTATCGCCTTTAGCGGTCCGTATTTTTAAGATTGTTAATTATGTTGACAATAATCGCCTAAACTACGCATAAAACCTTTTAAAGTTTAATGTGCTCATTAATTACATTATAATTACAATTATATATATACAGAGTGCTCTTCAAAAGTGAATATAAAAATGGATCTTATTTATCTATACCTATGTGATGTAGATATGACGTGCTGGAGAGTTTAAATATTCTTCTTAATCTAAAGCAGTGACGACGCGTGCCCTATTTGGAAGGGTGTGCGGCTCTTCTTTAATGTTTTTTTTACATGTACCACTTAAATTAAAATATATGAGATGTTTTATTAATAATAACCATATTATATTAGGCAACAATATATTCGCAATATTATATTAACAATTCATTAACAAAATAACATATTAAACAAATTAAATTAATAATTTATATATAAGTTTAATATTATATCAATATGGAAGAAACAAAACATTTCACATAATTCTCGTAACATCAAACCAACTTTTTTCAAACAAGAGAGTTTGTACTTAGAAACATACATGTTTGTGCAGTGATCAAACAAAATCGAAACCACTTGCAATGTGCGCACAAGTACCCCGCACCATAAGAACAGAAATTCGTGGGTGCAGCTGTTAAAAGGGGAGAGACGAAATGTGATAGAAATGTATGGTGAGATGAGCTGCAAACTTCAGCCGCTCATGCAACTACTTTGGCAAATCATAATGTTGGATTCGTATGCATGCAGTTGATATTCGAATAGAACAGAAAATTACTCTCATACAATTCTCACTATATAAATCTCTATCTCTGATATTACGAACGGGAGCACACGCACATTATTTTGTTCATATGCAACGTATGAATGTGCTGCCAACTTCTTTGCACACAAAGGGGAGAGACGAAATAAAATAGAAATGTTCTGTGATTTGAGCTGCAAATATATGAGCACATCTAACAAGTATAGCAGCAAAGAGTATATATACTCTATGATAGCAGCTAACAGAAGCAAATTGATTGAGTTTTCATAGACAATTATATTTAATTGTTTTTGCAAAAACTTTAAAAAATATATATGTATATGGAAATGTAATAATTAATAATAATTCTTGATGTGAAGATACCTAATAAATTTATATACCTATGTTATTTGACATTTTGCAAATTATGTTAGGGTGTTCACCGCACACCTCCGCACCTTAGAGCAATCGTCACTGATCTAAAGGTAATTTTTTAGCGAAAATGGGAATTAAAAAAATATTGTTATTTTTTTTCGATCTAGATATGTATATATACTTCTTTCCAGATGCGACTGGGCTCCTAAGTAATATTTTTAACGAAAGAAAAACATAAGATTTGCTTTTACGATTTAATAAATTTTTTATTAAATGTTTTAATACGAGCACACATTCTTAGGTGTGTATGTATGTATATATATATATACTTATTTATAATGTATATATTAGTATTGTTAATTTTATTATGTGTACGTTTATAATTAAGTTACGTTCGTTTACCTTGGTATGAGATATCGTCGAAGTCTATTTAATATTTCGGTTTCACATTTCATTAAGTTTTTGTAATTAAATCTTATTTAATTTTTAATATTTGTAGTGTATTAATAATCTTAGTTAAATTTACGTATATAATAAATCATACAATATGATTTATAAATTTATTTATTTGTATTTCTAGTTATAAAACTTTATATATGAGTACATATATATATATTTATAAATATATATATATATATAAAACAATTTACTTTTGCGTGACTTTTACTTTTTTATTTCTGCTAAACTTTCTGTTTTAACTTAAAATACAATATATTTAAGTTTTTCTTTATTCAACTATTTGATTTACCTTTAATTAATAGTAATATTCATATTGTTCACTAATAATAAATTAATAAAAATTTTATTTAATTACAATTAACCTTACAACTAACAAATACAATCAAATTTGTGTTTATTTAACTATATTTCATATATATAGAATATTTATCTTGTTCCAGTGATAAGTTTTAGTTTTGTTTACAACTTATTTTGTATATAATTTTGAATTTTTGACCATTGGAATTGTCTAATAAGTTTTAATTTGTTTTAAGTTATTAACTAGAAAGAGTTACAATATCTTAATACGTTGGGAAAGGAATTAGGATATAGGTAGATATAACGACTATTACTTAGTAAAATAATGTGGAAAGGAAAAATTTTAAGTAAACGTTAAAATTATCGGCACAATATTTTGACTACCATTGACTTCAATATAATTATTTTTGTGTAGTTTTTTTCAACTCAAAAGTACGAAGTTTTTTAATGTTTTTAAAAATCTGTTAAAAGCATCCTGTAATTTAAGTACTCATCAGATATTAATCAAATTATTATTATAGTTATAACGTTTCAAACTCTTTGCTTAGATATTTTTACAAAAAAGGACTTGGAACATTTAAAATAGAGTTTCCCGGTATAGGATGTTTACAACAAACAAGAAAATATATTGAATAAGTTGAGGTAATAAATAATGGAGCCTTCCGGGTATTGAAAACGTAAGCTTATCAAAGAATGACTAATTTCTTTTACATTTAGTCGCTATAAGTTAAATTTAAATTTTTGCGAAAAATTGAATGGAATAAATACATTTAACAACATGTCGAAGAAAGCATTATTTTAAAAACTTAGATCATTTTATTAACCTTAGAGGTAACAGATATTATAACCACAATAGATCAATATTTGAAACTACATATTCATCAATGAGATAGAAAAATTTATGAAAGTAAGTTATTAGAGTCTCGATAACTTTACACTAAAGCTGTAAAAACTTCGGGAATTAGTCTTAAATAAAACTACACATCTTTTTGATAAGTTCCTTTACAAAAACAAAAAATGATATTTTTAATAGAGCACTTTTCAGAAATCAGAGTCAACGCATTTGAACGAAAGTTATGTTGGATGCAAATGCAGCTGAAACTAGTTGTTGCTAGTTTTGTTCAAGAGAATTCGTTTATATGTAGACAACCTTTAATATGTTAGACAGGCTTACATCCCGCGCAGATGAAAGCCATACTTGGTATGTAAACTAATGACTAAATCAGTAACTAAAGCTATTACTGAATTAGTAACTAAATAAGTTACAGAATCAGCACCAGAAAATAAATCAGTTGCTAAATGTGGTTTACATGTTGGATTGAACTTTGATTTGCAGCTGTGGTTGCTTTATAAAGTGGTCAGGTCATCTGCGCGAGTCAATATGACTTTTGACTCATTTTTTATAAATCAGACTTTAAATACTTAAAATATTTTATTATTTGCTTCAACGTTTTCATTTACTTCAATTTTTATATGTAATCATTTTTTACCATCTCCAATTTCCACCAATCTCCAAAAAATATTTGGATACAATTTTAGTGTTACTAAATATAAAATGAGTTTCTCAAACATAATAGTCAAAATAAAAACATATTTATATTGAAAGAAATTTTAAGATTTACTAATTATAAATACATATTAGACATAAACATACATAACTTTGACATTGATGCAATATTTATTTAATGATTTTTTATTAAAGTAAAGTTTTTTTACTATAATTTATTGAAAGTTTAAATTTTTTTGTAATTTTTTTCTCTATATTAATTACAACAACATTTAGAATTAAATTTGTATGAAATTGTATTATAAACATTGACATGTAATTTTAAAAATTGCTTTATTTTACTAATTATTTTCATAAAATTATTTAATTTACTTAATTTTAATCTTTGTTTTTCTTTAATTTAATATAATCAAGTTCTATTTTGACACGCAGAGCTTTAATGTATAAATAAAAAAAAAGTAACCTAATAAATATAAGTAAGACAAAAAAATTAAAATTTAATGCCACATTGTATTGTACATTTGCGTCTAATTTACACATTAATAATCTCTTACATATTAAAATAGTTGATTTTTATAAATATTTAAATAATTCACATTTAGATACATATAAATAATTTACAATTAATTTATTATTGTTATTTTTGCTAAACTTAATAAAAAATTCTTAAAATTTATTTACAATTTATCTGGTAAGTTTTATAATTAATAATAATTCTGACAAAATTGGCATCGTTTTATATAATTAATGATATAGTTCATTTTTAATATATATATTATAATTTGATAAAGCCACATGGAATTTCAATCATAATTTATTTAGTTTTTCATTTGAACATAATTACTTACAAACCTACAACCACATCAATGCGCAACATGTGTTGCCTTATGATTGTTGTTTATTTTCCTTTTATTTTTTGTTTTTGTTTAATGTTTAATATATATTATCTTTCATATTATGTTTGCAAAAATTTTTAAGTATAAAATTTTTTTTATTAACAAATTTTATTAACTTTATTGCTTTTGTATATTTTGTGCTTTTCTCTTGCTTATATTAAAACCTTTTTATTATTGCTTCTTATGATACTGAAACGCTTCTACAATTAAAAATATAAACATTGAGAACAAATGAACAAACGAAGCAGATCCTCATATTTTTAAAAACGAATATCGATATTACGTTCAGAGAGAGAGGGTCGGTCTTGTAATAAATATGGGAGAGAGAAGAGAGTATAAATTAAGTGTGATAAAAGAGTATATATATATATATATAAGAATTAAATAAAAAATCAACAACGAACTGAAAAAACTAAATTACACATTACATGAAATTTTTAAAGCAAAAATAAATAAATTAATTAAAATATGATTTATTTTCAGTTTTCAAACATAAAAGCATAATACAGTAAACTAAATAATATAATTTTTTTATATTTTACTAAAAACAAAAAAAAAATGAAATTTATATAAATACATATACATATATATATAACTAAATTCAAAGTTTTTATATAAACATAAATAAATCAAACTCTCCCCCAATTAATCATAATTTAGTATTTAGTATTGAGTTTTGAGTTTGCGTCTTCACAAGTATCTACAAATATTTTTTTTCTATTTGGTAATTTTTAAACAATTTAAATGCCATTATTTTTTTTCTATTATTTTGTAATTTATCACATTGAGTTAGTTAAAAATTTTTTAAACACATTTACTATATTGGTGTTGTATGAAATTCCAATATCATATTATTCACAATAGCTATACTAGCTGCTGTTAGTTATTGTTGAGCCTGTTAATCTTCTGCAAGTTGTCAAGATGTTATTATCGATTTAACAGCATCATCCAAGCCGGCTGATACACAACTAAAATCTGTAAGCACCGCAGCTGTGTTTGCTGCATTTGTTAAGTTATGTTGTTGCTGTAAAGTGTGTTGATGATTATGTAGACTGTGATGCGTATGATGATGATTAGTATTGTGATTTAATAGCTGTTGATGCGTATCAAGCAATAAATTGTTTACATTGTCACCAACTTCGTTCCCTGCGTTCGTACCGCCACTTATAAGACAATCGCTAAGATCATCTGACAACAAACGACGTTTAGCAGCCTCTTGGCAACTAGGTAAAGCTACCGTAACTTGCTGACGATCATCAAGCAAACTGTCATCTAAGAGTGCGCCCATCGAATGATCCAGAGAAAAATTCAAAGAATCTGACTCACTATTTTGCAAATTTAAAATGCTATCGATAGCATTTTGCACATGTCGACTGATGTCATCGTCAAATTCAGCGGAACCTGTGATGTGATTAATGTTATGCTGTTGTAAGCTATGTTGGTGCATATGTTCTGGTTGCATACCATGGTTTTGAGAAAAGTGTTGATGGTGATCCATATTGTCATTATGGCCGTCTAAAATACCATCAAAATGTTGATGCGCCTGCGTAAAAGTGTGTTGTTGTTGCTGTAATAACAATTGTGTAAACCCACCAGGGCTTGCATTTACGTTATTTACATTGGAGCTGTGTTCCACACCTAAGCCATCATGCAAAGATAATAAATCATTAGTATCCATAAGATCATGATGTTGCATAGCTTGTTGTTGTGACAGTGGTGAAGATGATGTTGACGATGAGATTGGTGTAGTGCACATCTTTTTATTGATGTGTTCATCTTCCAAATCACTCGCAGACATCATGTGGCCATTCCAATGACGCTTTCGAATATCACTGTTCCCATCTCCTACAATCCCATTTGCAGCAATTGCATTTGTTGATGTTGTTGCAGCGGACATAAAGTCATTAAATTGAGCTTCCATAGTTTGCATCCAACGTGGATTATTATTGCAACTTAACTGTATGTGATGCTGTTGATTTTGGTGTAGTACTGTATTAGCCGTATACTGTTGTTGTTCATTATCAAATAATACATTTTGTTGAGGAACTGGTCCAGTTGAGCTGCTGTTGGTTGCACGTATAAAATTTGAGTTTGTGCCTAGTTCATGATCCCAAATTCTTTTGTCTTTTATTCCAACATCATCAGCTGAAGATTTTGTATCACCAAATATATCATCTAAACCGGATTCAATATCATGCGAATCACTACTACTTTTACCCAAATGAACTGGTGATTCACCAAACATAGCTTCTAAACGTGTTTCAACTGATTTGTGTACTTCTGAATCTGCATGGAAGAAGTCACTAATAGAAGCAACATGTTGATTGTTTGTTTGTTGTTGGTGTTGTTGGATAATTACAGGTTGTTGTCGTTCTTGGCTGCAGCTGTTGTTACTCCCGCTACTACCACTTGTATTGGTGCTGTCTTTACTTATGCAACCATTTGGAAACAAATCGACGATGTGGCTAGTGTCTGTTGTATTAAGTAAGGCGTTGGAATCAGAATTTTCAAAAATTTGTTCTAGCGACTTGACTGTCGTTTGTTGTTGTCCTATTTTATTTTCGGAATTGATTAAATTCAATTCCTTTTGCAGGCAAAACCAATCATCCTCGTGTTGCTTAGCGTTAATATGTTGTATGTTAAAGTTATTTGGTTGTAATTTTTGTTGATGTAGTATTTGTGACATTTGTTGTTCATATAAATTGCTTACTTTGTCACTGGATATAGTTTTTTGATTCATTGTAAAACGTTCATTTGCTTGATGTCCTTGTGAAATTTTATTTTGTTCTACTTTTTTCATTATAAAACTGGGCCTTATCTCTGATTCAATATCAAAGTTATCAAATTCTTTTTTAACGTCAGCAGAGTGAGTATTATTTCCATCGGTTGACATGTCATCTTTTTTTATAGAACTGCTGTATTGCTGTTTATTGCAACTAGAGTAAGAAGTCATTGTTGATATCTTGCCTTTGTTGTCGAAACTTTCGACATCAGTGTTGGTTACTTGTGTATCGTCAATATGCCAACCATATTTCTGATCTTTCTTTACGATATCATGTTTTTTAATCGATGCAAATATATTAACATTGCTGCTATGTTTAAGTAAATCAAATTTATCCATGAAGATAGCACCATTTGTGATATTATTTGGGTCACGGTCACGGTCACGGTCAGTTGGCTCAGTTTTTATTTCATTTTTGAAGCCAGAATTTTCTTGCTGCAGTGTACTATCTTTACAACTGTTTAAGCCTGGTGAGCTAGTATTGATTTTATAAGAATTTAATTCGGTTTTGAATTCGTCCATAAGTTGTCGCTGATGTTGCTCATTCAGATCTTGTTTTAATTCTTGATCAAGTTTTTCCCACTCATCCTGTGATTGTTTAGCTGATTTTAAATCGTCTAATTCCAGTTTCAGGTCGTCAATCATTAATTGCTGTACCTGACAGAACTCCGAAGTGCGATGTGGTAGCTGTTTTTAAATAAAATAAAATGATACATATTAGAAAATTTCTATTTAATTTCAATTTCAGTTCAATCTCAAAATTTTTACTAACCATAGATTCCTGAAGTAGCAATTTTTTAAATTTGCTGGAAAGTAAGTGAAATTTATCCTTCAGTCGTGTTGCGGTTTGATTAAATTCTTCATCTTCTTCAATTGGTATATACTCATCCTGTTGATGCATGCAATGATAACTGTAAAGAGCAAGAATTTTTTATTAAATCGCTTCTTTTAAAATATAGAATGAGAGGATCACATACCGAATAAGGCGTTTTACAGCCTCCTCTTTGCTTTGAAATGGATTACTGTAATCAGGTTTGATACAACTTTGTTGATCTACATCCAGTTGACGTATAAATCTATTAAAAAGAAATTCATTAATTTATGCATAAAAAGTTATAAAAACAAGAGAAAAAATAAATTCGTTCAATTCTGAAATATCGACAAAACTACTTTTGTGTTTTCAACCAACTACTCACAAGGAGAGACGAGCAAGTTTCGGCTTTGTCGACTCAAGTTCTTCTGATTTATTTAGAGCCGTTGTTATTGTTTGTGGAGCTGAAGTAACCACGTTGTTACTAGCTAGTATTGTTGTAGTTCCCGCTGATATTTTAGTTACACTTGAGGATGTTGTTGGTGTTGCTATTTCAGTGGCTATAGATGTTTGTTGTGGTTGTTGTTGTTGAATTTGTTGCTGTTGCTGGGGTTGTATAGTAATCGTATTACTATGACTACTAACAGATGCATTTGTTGTTGTTGTTGCAGAAGCAGCTGTTGTGCTTGAAAATGCTGTAATGGACATCTGTTGTTGGGTCAATGTTGTTCCATTCGAGGAGAATACTAAGGGTGGTGGTCCGTTTGGCACATTATTGGAGTTTTGGTAAAGCGTGTTCTTCTGTTGTATTGATTGTGGTTGTGGTTGAGTAGTTTGCTGCTGTTGTAAGCTATTCGTGGCGTTATTGCCTTGCTGAACAAATTGTTTTTGCTGAGATATCATGGGAACCATGGTATTAGGTATTATATGCTGTTGTTGTTGTTGTTGTATTTGCTGAGTAGCAATTTGCTTAATTTTTGCTGTTGTTTCTTTCGCTTTGGCTTGTTGCTGCTGTTGGCTTACATTGTTTGTTGTTAATTGAGAAATTTGTTGTGATTGTTTCTGCTGCTGCTGCTGTTGTTGTTGTTGTTGCTTTTGTTTATTTTGCTGTACATTTTGATGATGTTGCATCGGATAAATATGTATGCGATGAGCTACATTTTGTTGGTGAGCTTGTTGTTGTTGTATGTTGTTACTAGAGCAGCTAACTGTAGTTGTTGTTGAATGATTATTAGGTTGGACGACATTTGCTGGTATATTTGCTGTATTTGGTTTTAAATCAATTTGCTGATTTTGTTGGTGCGATATTAGTGTGAAACCACCATTCGCATTTGGTAATAAGCCTTCAGGTGTGGGAATTTCTTTTCCTGAAGCTAATATTCGCTGTTGCTCTCCCAGGAGGCGTTGCAAAGCCACATTTATTTCGTTATCACTCATTGGCTTATTGAATGCAGCAATTACAGCTGGATCAAAATCTGGCGGCAACGGAGTTGTTGCGAGTAATGGCCTATGTTGTAACTTAATTGTGAGGTATTGTATTTGCATTTGAACTTGTTTAAACATTTGTTGTTGTTGTGGCGTTAATTGTATTGTTTGTACACGTGAAACCGTATGTTGCTGTTGCTGTTGTGGTTGTGGTTGTGTATGAGACGGATTAGTTTGTGATTGTTGCTGCGTCAGTGTGTTACTGTTGTTAGCAGTAGTAATGGAGGTAAGTACTGCAGGTCCATTTGTTATACTTGCAGTTGATGTGGTATTTGCAATGCTAGTAGTTACTGCTTGCATTGAAAAACTATTAATAAATGTTGTGTTAGTGTTATTGCTAGTTGAAGATATATTGCACGATAAATTACTGTTGCTGTTGCTGTTGCTACTATTATTATTAGCAACAGACGTATTGATAGTTCCGCTATGATTATTAAAATTTCGTTGATTATTCGTTTGCAACAAGTTTGAAGACTGTTGAAAAGTTTGCTGCTGTATTTGTTGTTGTTGTGGCGGTTGCTGCTGCATTGGTGCAGTGATACCAATTAGTTTTGTAGTTTGCTGTAAAGTTTGAAACGGTTGTATGCTATTGCTTGTAGTTGTAGTGGTAGTTGTTGTTGTTACACTGCTGCAAGCAGAAGAGACAACAACTTGCTTGCCGCTTGCAATATTTGGTTGAACGATTTGTACGGGATTATTATTTGGTTTTTGTGATAAAGGATCTAATTTGGGCATCGGCTTTACAACGCTAGCATTTTTCATAATTGCGGATGTCCCACCTGCACCTGCAGCAGCAACGTCAGCAGCAGTTGTTGTAGTTTTTGGTTTTCGTACAGGTTTCTTTTTTACAACTTTTGTTGGTTCTAACTTGGCTTTACTTTGATCTATAATTGGAGCGACATTTGCCACTTGTTTTGTGACGGTTGTTGTCGTTGTTGTAGTGTTTGTCAGAGTTAGCGATGAATTGTTGCAATTAATAAGTGGTTGTATTGGTTGTGGATGGACAATCTGTTGCTGCGGTTGTATTCGAGACTGATTTAAAGGTTGATTTATACTTGAGTTAAGTCCAATGGTTGGTTGCGTTGTAGATGGTAAAGGGTTGACGTCATTAAAATGGATTTGCCCTTGTTGTAGACACTGTGCCAATTGCTGAGCATTTATACCAGCTGGAGCAATAAGTAATCTTTCGGTTGGTCCAATCGATGCTGCTGTTTGAGTTGCACTTATAGGTGTTATCTGATTGTTAAAAGAGTTAAGGCAAAAGAGCTGCTGTGTAGACGGATCTATTTTTGGTAAAGCAACATAACGTTGCTGACTCTGCACAGCTGCTGCTGCAGCAAATGCAGCCTGGTTTATTAATGCATTATTTGCTTGATTTGTTTGTGTCAATATTTGTTGCTGTTGTTGGGTAAATGTCACCAATTGCTGTTGAGGTTGAGGATCTTGTGGCTTGATTTGAGTTTGTTTTGAATCATAAACAAAACGTTTGTTATCCAATTGCGTTTGTTGTTGGCCCACGTTTTGCCCTGACATGTGATTGGTGACATTCGATGTATTCGCATTTAATTGCAATTGAATTGTGGGCGGTTTTACTGTAGACAAATTTTTATTTACAGCTCCTGTACTAGGAGCGATCACAGTTTTTGAACCATTTGAACCAATTTGCGACTGTTGCTGCTGTATGGTGTTCGCCTGTTGACTCCTATTATCTACTTTAGTTGGCTCATTGATTATTGTCAAATTTGGGAATGCACCTATGGAAGAGAATATTTGAAAAATAAAATAACGGTAATTATAATCTATTTAAATATAAAGTTTTTTTAGTTTCAAATTTAAGATACCTTTTAAGAGAGCTTGTAGTATAAGTTGAGATTGAGAATCTTGAGGTTGATTTGGATCGTGCCTTAGAATTAAGCGCTCACAATGTTCAGAAACTGCTAAAGTTAAGCTTCCAGTAAGTTGAGGAATCAATGCCGCAGCAGATGCAGGTGAACCTACTGATATGGATACATTACCAGGCATTCCTGTCAGTTGCGGTGGTAATATTGCAGTTGGGATAGTATTGTTACTGGTTGAATGATGCTGCTGTTGCGTTGTTGTCTGTACGGGTGCGGACTGAGGTATGGCTACTAGCTGCATTTGTCTACCATCAGATGATAGTTTAATAGTTGGTTCTTGTTGCAACGAAGAAGGTGCTGTTGGGGTTTGAAAAACTATCTGTTGTTGTTGTTGTTGAGGCTGCTGAGATTGTTGTTGTTGAAATGGTTGCGCCTGTGTTGGAGCTATAGTAATGTTATTCGGACTACTTGATACTGTATGAGATCCTATTTTAACGCCAGTATTGTCCAGTA